ACAAAGATATTTCCATAATATAGCCTTAAAAGCACATAATATAGTTCTAGGCGAGTTTGAATTAATGCACATCAAAGACTAACAATTAATATTGACCGCTTGAAATTAATCGTGTACGTTTAGGTGCCTAAACCGGTCGTCCATAATTATCTGACTTTAATGTGAATGCATGTAAATTTTCTGGTCTTGATTAGCAACCACATAGGAGGTGGAACATGCATGCAAACAATAGAAACAATAAAAACAAAGCATAGAAAGTTTATTTACAACCTACGTCATGTTTAAATTGGTGTCGAATAGTTGATTAATCCATGTTACATGCTTTCAAAGGTGATTAAACTAACAAGAACATGAATTAAAAGGAGTAAAGGGAGAAGAATATTATGAAGATTGTGGCCTCATCATAGACTATACCTTGCGTGCGTGGTCGGACAATTTAAGAACAATAACCTGTTAAATGCCTAAGATCTAGAAAATGTGTTTGTTTGTCTGTGTTTGTGTGTTTGAAAGAGTTTGAAAGGATATGATGAGAGTATGATGAGAGTGAGAGTATAAGAGTGATGCACGGGTGAAGAATGCCAAAAGGCGAGCTAAGGTCGGATGAGCCAATTTATATAACCAAACGCTCAAGAGGGTGTAGGAGGCTGCGTAATTATGCAGATCTTCAGCATTTTTACGCGGCCTTTGCTTGCTCCCTAAGATCCGTACGTGTCCAGGTTCATTGAAAAACGCGTAAGAATATTTTGTGAGATTATTCAGGAACGTTCCGTACGTATATGCCCGTCATTGCGCCTTGGTTCATGATTCTAAGAATATTTGCTTTGATTTTTCTGGTTTTATTTGTTTTGTTTATGGTTCATGGATGTTAGTAAAACATCCCGTTCGTAAGCAACTGCAAGGCACCAAGGGAGGACAAGGGAAGCAAGTCGATATCAAGGGTCAACATGCTAAACCGACTTGTGGTGAAGGCAGTGGGCAACAAGCTAACCTGAGGAAACAAAGTCAACAGAAAGCTTAGGTGGCACAAGCACAACCGAGTAAACCAAAAAATCAGTCGGCTGGAGTTTCATGATTTGAAATTTTAGAGGTGGAGGAAAGTATGGAAACCAATGATAATAATGGAAAGGATATGAATGGAGCAGATAATGCGCAAAGTAATCTTGAAAGGAATCCTACTATGGAAATTGGTCAGATTTGAGTGTTGACAAAAGGGATTCTCCAAGAATAGAGACGATTAATTTGGGGTTGGAGAATATTATGATGGATACTAACAAGGAACAAAATATGATAATTGATACTGATGTGTCGAAGGAAATCCCAAGCACTGTGGATTTGGCTAGATAGTAATGGTAATTCTATGTTGATTGAGAAACTAGAGAATTGTTTAAGGAAAGAAGTATATCACAAGGATCGAAAGGAAAGATCTCCTATAGGAGTGCCATTAAGGGAAAGGAGTAGAGATATTCCTAATATTCATACAGAAGATGTGATTAAAGGCAGAAGAAGCAAGGGTGTCTAGTGGTGTTGTTTCGAGTGTAATAGGGAAGGAAAATTCGGTGGAGGTTGTGTCAGTCACGCCCTCTACTTTGGTTAAAGATAAACCACCATATAGTGAAACAAGATAGAGTGAGTAGAAATAGACATGGCCATGAACATCCCAATTACTCTAGAAGTCTAGTTTTCCCCAACGTAATTTTGTATAAACAAATGCACAGATAAGAAGTTGCATCTTAAATTGGTCATTTCCTTTCACATGAGGGCCAACTTATGTTTCAGTCAACATCTTTCTTTTCATCTTATCATATTCATCAGTTTTTCTCATGCCCAATTAAAGCAAGAGATGATGAATTGGCAACATTAACGAAGAATTAAATTGAAACCCTAACTTTTCGAATTCTAACAATTGACAAAGAATATTATTGGGGAAACCATCATACATTCATACTTGATTCGAATTGATAAAAATTGAATGCGGGAAGCTTTGATTTAATTTTAGTCTTTTGCTTTCACCTTCAAAATCAAGTAGAGAGAAAGTAGATTTTGTTGTAGGAATGGAGTAATGGAAGTTTGGAGGGAAATAATAGGAGAAAGAGAATAGTAACGTAAGAAATGAAGAAAAAATAGGGGAAAAGTTTTTTTTTTTTTTTTTTTAATGTCACGTGCAAGTCACGTGATAGTCAACGCCGGAGAAATTTAGTCAAAGGCCGAAATCCGGTCAAAGATCCTTCCTCACAATTTTGTTTTTAATCAGGTCCAACTTTGCCAATTTCGTTTTAAAGGTCCCTTTTCACAAATAGTTCAATTAAAAATATCTTTACTGATAGAAAGTTTTAATCAGTAATTGAGAAAGTAAAAGAAGATAGGGTGAAATGTAGTAGTATGCTACTACGTGAAGCTCTCATTATATAACCAAAATTTTACAATAAAATATATACATGATGGTATTGTCTCTTATGTATATGATTGCCCTAAGTAAATATCACATGTGAACATAGTTACCAGAATCGGGATTCTACCATGAATCGGTGACTAGGGTAGAATCGAATCGATAAAATCGAATCGTAGAATCGTACGATTCTACAAAATTGTAAAATTGACTTCATAATTTAACTAATGAATACATACATATTTTTCAAGCAATGAGAATGATAATAATATATATTGTTGATAACATAATATCGACAATACAAACATTAGTTAGTTTTAGAAGTAATTTCGCACGCTCAAACCTCAAATAGTACACTATAAACTATAAAGTCAGATTATTGGTACACATTCTTAACCACGAGAGTATGAGACAAATGTTGTTAAATTATGAAAAAAATAACGTTGTTGGCTCGTTAAATGATTTCCCCTAATAAAAAATCCGATGATAATAGAAAACTAAGTGTCAAGTTAGTTCATTTTAACGAGATTTCTAAAGAATGACAACTACAATAAACTCATGTTATAAAAGTGTTTTTTATATGCCCAAAGTGAAGTGCATAAGACTCATAAATACATTCTTATGCCCACAAAATTTAAATGGTTGGATAGAATTTTAAAAGTTATTTAAATTAATGTTTCATAAGCTTTATTATGATTTATATTGAATAATATATATAAGTCATTGACTAAAGTTAGGCTCAAATATGACACCCTTACACTCTTTAGGATATAACATAAAATATATAAATGATATGGGTACGAGACCAAATCTATTAGAAAGTATACCTCAAGACTTCAAGAGCTTTCCAACGATATATTATATGCCCAATTTTGACTTCGCAATCAAAAGTTACGGATTTCGGAAAAGCAGACTTTTTGCAGGATTGGAATAGTTAGAATCGTTATAGAATCGGTAACGATTCCACCGATTCTAACTGATTCTATGAGCAATTCTACATCCTAGCGATTTTACCAACGATTTATATCGTTTAGGTGGATTGGAATTGTAGTCGTACCAAATCGTGGTTTTAATAACATGTGAGCATCACTTTGTATTTTCTTCAACACCCCCTTGAATGTTCACATAAAATGGGGTATGAGCTGTCTCATTAAAAACCTTGTTAGGTAAAACCCTATGGCATAAAAACAATAGCTAGGAAAAAAGAGTACAAAGATATTATATGCTTTGGTATACTGCCCTATTAGAAACCTTGTTAAGAAAAACCTAGTGGGATAAAAACCTGATCGAAGGAAAAAAGAGTGCAGTGCATATAATACTCCCCCTGATTTCAACGTAGTTCACGAAGATGTCGCATTCCGATTTTGTGAACTAATTGCTCAAATTTCTTTGAAGGGAGGGATTTGGTGAACAGATCGGCAAGATTGCCACAAGACTGAATTTGCTGGACATCTATTTTATCTTCCTTTTGCAGATCATGTGTGAAGAATAGTTTTGGGGATATATATATGTTTTGTTCTATCTCCCTTAATATGTTTTTCGGTTACTCGAGAGATGCATGTTGTATTGTCTTCAAAGATGATGGTTGGATTTTTTGTTATTACATTCATTCCACATTCTTCTTGGATATTACTTACATGCATCGACCTTAGCCATACACATTCTCGTCTTGCTTCATAAAGAGCTATCAACTCTGCACTATTCAAGGATGTTGCTCAATGTTAGCTTTGTTGATTTCCATGATATTGCAGTGCTGCCATAAGTGAACGGATATCCAGTTTGTGACTTGGCCTACCTGGCATTTTGTGGATCTGATAAGTATATATCCAGCGTCTGCATACCCAACGAGAGCATCATCTTGTTTTCGTTGATAAAATAAACCAAGGTCTTTTGTCCCTTGTAGGTACCTGAGTAAGTGTCAAACTCCCTTCCAATGTCTATATGTCGGTGCGTTGCTATACTCCTGTACCTGGCTAACAAATTCACAGAGAAAGCTATGTTGGGTCTAGTGTTGTTAGCTAAGTTCATTAAGGCTTCAATTGCACTTAAATATGGTACTTCTAGACCCAAAATTTATTCAATATCCTCTCGGGGTCTGAATGGATCGTTTTTCATGTTCAGAGAACGAACAACCATTAGTGCGTTGTTGTACCAAGCTAACAAATTCACAGCCTGGTGCTGATAACGTGTTAAAAACTTTTTTCCGATACAAATTTTAATCAGTAAATGAGAAAGTGAAAGAAGATGTGGTGAAATGTAGTAGTATGCTACTAAGTAAAGCTACCATTATATAGCCAAAATTTTACAATAAAATATATACATGATTGTACGCTTATGGACTCTTATGCATATAATTGTCTGAAGTAAATATCACATGTGAATTTCACTTTGTATTTTCTTCAACATCTAACAAATTTCATTATTATTATTATAAAGTTATTATATGATGAGTAAATTTTTAGTTTTTGGGGATTTGTTTTTGGTTGGAGTTGCTTTAACATCCATATAAATATAAAAATAAATAAATTAATAAAATCTAAAATCATGCGCCGACCTTCTTAAGTCGCGTGAAATTTACCAATAATTTCCAAGATTCTAGAATAACCCGTACGTATAATTTTCAACGGTATAAAAATATAAAAACCCAACCAACCCCTTAATCAACAGTTTTAGGGTTTCCTGGAGAAAAATTCCCCAATTCAATTGAAGAATTAGATCGTGCAAAGTAGGAAAGATGATTGAGGTGGTGTTGAACGATAGGTTAGGGAAGAAAGTTCGAGTGAAGTGCAACAAAGATGACACCATTGGAGACTTGAAGAAGCTTGTTGCTGCTCAAACTGGTACTCGCGCCGAAAAGATTCGAATTCAGAAGTGGTATACAATTTACAAGGATCATATTACTCTTGAGGATTATGAGATTCATGATGGAATGGGTCTTGAGCTCTACTACAATTGATCTTCTTCTTCATGGTTTTGATTCTCTCTCTTTTCGCTTTTTTCTTTTCATTTTCTGTATTTTGATTGGGTTTTTTTTTTTTATTTTTTATTATGAATATTTGATTGATAATTTGAAAATTTTTTTAACTTTGATTGTTATATTTGGAAATTTTGGTTTGGAATTATGGGTTTCGTTTGTTTGTTGTGATTGGTAAAAATTATTATGGTTTGCTATTTTGGTTGGATTTCTGCTGGTTATTGATTTGATTGTACTTCGAAATTGAAAAATTAAATAGGATAGGGAGGCCGAAAAGTAGCTAAACCCTAACATGTCGGTTGTTTGTCTTGAAGGTTTAATATATAGGGTTTGCCACCAAGTTGTGAGCAATGTAAAAAGTATTTGTTTTGGGATGGACGAAGTGTTATGTGAATTATACAAGCCTCGATATAGCTTTCTTAGTGATCTTAACACTTGCAATCGGTGCTCAGTTATCTGCGCTAACAAATACGGAGTACTAATGAGCTTGTACACGTTTTAGTGTGTCGCATCCTTGCGATGGTGAATTCTAGTTGATTCTTTGTTCCTCTATGGATATATGCTCCAATGTGAAATTAATTAGCTAACAGGAACAAATCTGGAGTGGCTAAAGGTGGCATCTTATGGTGGTAAGACTGTTAACCCTGAGTTAGAGTAATTAAGTGAGAGGGCTACCTCCATCTGTTAGGGACTTTTGGTGATTGCGCGGGGGACTTGTTGGAGATTATGGGGACTAAAAGGAGACAGTTTTTGGGTTATTTGGGACAATCCATTCATCACTGTTACAAATTTGGAGTTTATTACTCATCTAACTATATCAATTAGTGATGTGATTTTAAATTTGGTAGCAATTTCTTATAAGAAAAAAGCTGAACACTAGTTAGATTATAAACTCTGAATTCACTTGTAGTCTATCAAAATTGTAGTTGCTTTTATTTATACTTCTATTTCATAACGCTGAGTGCATGGCTCAATGGCTCATGTTTTCGGTATTCTTAATGCAGGCTGGTGCAGCTGTCATGTATGAATGCGTTGCTCTTTGCTGATTGTATAACCAAAAGTATAAATGGTTACTGACTGTATTTGGTTAACAAATAAATTGCCAAAGCATTCTAGATACTACGTATGTGATTGTCAAATACATTCTAAGACATGTAATTGTCTAAAACTTGTAATCATTCAATACTCCTTGTACTTTGCCTCTGATTTTCCATTACTGTCATACCTGCTTAAATACGTCGTATTATAGTATGCTGATGTTGTGCATTTGAGCGATTTGAATCCCTATTTTGTAAAAAATTTACTAGGTATCCCCAAGCTTTCTCCTTTCCCGTAACACACGTTCAGATATGCCATTGGCTGTAAACAAATGCGCTAAACCCCCTTTTGTCACTTTTGCACTAAGGTGTCGTTTAGTTGACAAAAAAAAAAAAACATGGGAAGTTAAAATTTCTAGGAATTTAAATTCCCTTGTGTTGTTTGGTTGACAAATTTATGGGAAGTGGAAATAAGTAGAAATTCCTAGGAATTTTCACTTCCCACAAAATAGGGGAAGTTAATTACCTAGGGGAGTTTGGAACTTCTTATGGGAATTTCCACTTCCCATGGTTAACAAAACACAATTTAGTATTTCCACTTCCAAGGAATTAGCAATTCCCACATTCAATCAAACGACACCTAAGTCACTTTTGCACTAACCACACATATGTTGAAACAATTACACAAAACTCAATAGTTAATTGATGATTTGTAAGTTTCTAAACTAAAATCTATTTGTAAGTTATCAAATTACCTATAAATCTCACCTCATCGACTACAAAAATTTCGACTATCTTACATAAAGTATGTGTAATCTATCACCCAATATTATATACATAATCTATCACCTACAATTATCAATGCACGATGTCAATGGATGTAAATAGCTAGAACTTCATAATTCAATACGATTATTCAACATTACTTGTTATATACAGTAAGTACTTATATTGATCGATTATGACTAGCACTTGTGGGTACTTAGAAAACGAATGCAGTACTCTTTTCCTATTTGCTTTTTGGCAATTAGGAATGCAATTTATTTATTTGTTTTTTTTTTCTTTTCAAAAAGCCCAAAATAATTCTAACTTTCGATTATTTTTAATAATAATCCGAACTTTAATATGAATTTGCTTCTAATGGTCCCAAGTGACCGATAACCAATTGAGTAGGTAATTTTTTTTTAGTTTAAGTAACACGTGTCACCACGTGATTGGTAAAGTACAAGTTTAAAAATTATTAACACTTAATTGACTATTTTAAAAATTAATTAACAAAAATTTATTTTCAAAATAATAAAAAAAATACCAACTTAAACCCAGCCACCGACACAAAACACCCAGCCACCAACACAAAACACCAACCCAGCCACCTCCACCACCCTTCCTCCCCTGAGCCACTAGCCGCACACCTTCCTCACCATAACTACCTCAACCTCAACCTCATCCATGTCTCTCTTCACTCGCCATAACTACTAGAAGTCCAGAACCTCATCCTTCTCTCTCCTCACTCGCCCGCCTCAACCTGAACCGAAACCCGCCTCAACCACCACCAGCTAAACCGAAACCACCCACACCCACACCGGAAACTCTAACCCCCACCTAAATCGAAACAACCCTTACTCTGGGTAGGATCGACTCTCCCAACCTTACTGCCAACGACCCACTGCTACGGTGAATGCCAATGTTCGAACGCCAAGTGTGCTGGCGCGAAGAGCGGGGCATGTCAACAGAGCCGGTCATAGAACAGATCCTATAACTCGAGAAGGAACAAGAACAACTAATCTAGCAAGTGAGAAGAGAGGAAGAAAGCTTGAGAAGGGAGGAGTATTTTTCCGGGACGGGAAAGGGGGTTTGGTGGGTGGATGGTTCAAGGGAGGGGGATCTGGGCGATCGGAGGCAGGGGTCGGGCTTGCAGGGTAAGCGGCGGGGAAGGTGGTTGAGCTGGTGGATTTTTGTTGAGAGCTGTTGGGTGGTTTTTCTATTAATTAATTACTATTTTTTTTTATTTTCTTATTAATTTTTTTTTTTATTTTTATTTTTTGTCCACTCATGTGCCAGCACGTGTCAAATAACTTGTTATAACAAATTTGATGACCTGTTGGGATCATTGGAAGAAATTCATATCAAAGTTCGGATTATTAAAAAATAATTCAAAATTGAAATTATTTTGGACAAATGAGGCAAAGTTGGGTTATTCTTGTCAATTTTTCCAAATATAAAATGATATTTGAAAAATCTAAAAGCAAGAAATAGAAACGAATCCATCAAGATACCAAATCATAGTTCTCTTTTTAATATGTAGACGAGAATATAAGGTGAAAAATTATTAAACATGTAGAATAATACATTTTTTGATAATGTAATTAATTGCAAATCATCTAAACGAGAGAAAAGTACCATCTACGCCTAAAATTGGTTGCCAAATTCTGTAGAGAAACAAAGAAACTCTATTGCCTTAACTCGGTACTCTTGAAATCTCTCAAATAGATTTTGAGAAGTAAAGAATTTGCCAGCATTAGCCGCAGAGATATCCTTATATTTGCAGTGATAAAATGGCAAAAAAAATTGAGCAGTAAGGATCAAGGCCACCTAAACAACTATAGTTTCAGTTGCTGTGCAAATCAATGGTAGCGTTCATAATTGCCGTCCCTTCAAAATAGACAAATCCCCAGCACCTGTCAAGCGATTTGATCAGGTGATGCATTGTAGGGTGGCAGCCATTCCTTTCTCTAGAAACCTTTATAAAAATCTGTCTATGTTCACGTTCTATCATATCTTAACTTTAGACATTCTTCTTCTAGCATTTACAATTATTGATATAGCAACTATCACCAAAACGACAGCCATGATTAAAGAGATATTTTCCCAGGGTGGAGCCGTAAATGAGTTCATCAGGATGCTGTTTTGTCTTTCCTGCAACTTGAGCTACATTTTGTTAGAGCAAAGTGGTTATTTCAAACTTGCAATTAACAAAGCTTACAATAGCTACACTCATACTGAATATTTTAAACGCATTCATGCAACAACATGACCAATGAGGCAACGAGTCACCAATATCAATATATTTGTCAACAAAGTGAAGTTTAACTAGGGTAGAAATGATCTACAAATCAACAGTCAAGACGCCCTTTGCTCAAGTAAAAAAAGGACTGCTCTTAGATTCCCTAGAATAAAAAGAGAAAATAAAACAGCTTTTGAACAGTCATTAAAGATGTCAATCAACATCAACATATTACTTCGAAGTCCAAAGGCCATAGGATAATGGAGGAGCTGAGACCCTTAAGAAATTGCTTAAGCAAAGGCAAGAATCATCAGAAGTAAATGGCAGCTTGCCAGAGAATGAAATCAAGGATTGAGCATAAAAAAGAAAAAGGCAAATATTAGAAGTGGAAAATTACACCTTGACCATTCTGGAAAAGAATTGGTTCTAGCTAACTGAAAATAACAAATTTCAAAAACGAATATAGGCAACATGATTGTGTTTCTTCTAATTAGTATTCTTGAGCAAAATTTTATGATTTGGAGAATAAGAGACTCAGATTACAGAACTCACCAACTTCTGCACTGTCTGCTCATGTTGCCTGGCAAAGAGTTTTTGAGCATACTTGTAAAGCTCCATATCAAGTCTATTCAGTGAAATTATCTGCTCAATAACTGATTCTGGCACCTGATGGCGTGCCTGTAATGTAAGACTCCAGAGTGTCAGTGAACACCTACTGTCTACTACCCACATTGGTAATCTACAAAATATGATTGCTCAAGATAAAATTGAAAGTAACAGCAGTTAATCCTCGTTTTCCTATGATCCTACAGGATTGCAAAAATGATCATTTAAATAAAAAAAAAAAACAATTTTTTTTGCCCAAGTAAAATGTTCTGCTAACATAAACCAAAATGCTCACAAGGCTTAACAAACTTTGTTATGACCTTACAACTGTTACACACCTCTTTTGTGTAGTTCACAGGGGAAATTTTTTTCAGAGAAGTGATTCGCCGTTGTGACTGCGACTTCCGCAAATTACCAATGCACGATTGGTACGTTCCCATAAGTTTCCCAACAGTCATTTCCTGCATGGCTTAAACACAGTTAGTTACATGCTTCAAGATAGAAATAGGATGTAAATGATATAGGACAATCAAATTATCAAAGAGATCAATCTTATAATGCTTACACTTTTTCTAAACTCTCCATCCGCATTTGGTATGTTGCTTGGGCTTTCATCAACAGAAATGCTCTGTAGAGCAGGCAGCAGGAAGCATGACAAATTGAGAAAACTATTGCAAATGCTCTTAAATGGAAGTACTAAAAAACAGTATTACAACTAACCGTGTGTTGACCATGCTGAGATTCAGACGCTGCATGTGAATAGCTTTGTTCTGCAGAATTTTTGAAGTGTCAGAATCAATCCTTTTGATGCATCAGACCCCTAATATTACATAATAGGTAAATAATAACTTGGAATTGAGTTTACACTTGCATTCTATCAAAGTCATTGCTCCTAATTTTATGTTCTATTTTGACTTCCATGTTTGCCAACTCACAACTTCGACAACTAATATCATTGACTATCTTACTATATATTACACTTTGTTTGGATCGAAGGAAATGGAGGGAAAGGAAGGGAAGGGAAATGGAAGGATGGCTTATCTTTCATTTGGATAACAAATGCAAAAGGAAAGGAATTGGAGGGGAGAGAAATTGTAAGAAATTGATCTCTCCAACAATGGAGAGACTTGGAAGGAAACTCATTGTTCTTCCCTCCCCTTCCCACCCTTCCCCTCCCTCCCCTTCTTTTCCTTCCCCTTTCCCTATCCAAACACACTGTCAGTTTACTAATTTAAAAAAAAATAAATAAAAAAAATGCTGATTTAGAAAACAAATGTTGAGACAGTAGATATGCTCCAGATCCAGTTTCAAATGTATCTGGAGCATGGTGACAGTGTTACTAATAAAAAAAAAATATTGATTTAGAAAACAAATGGTGAGACAGATCCAAAAACCTTGGAACACTTTAAAAAAATTTGGAGCGTTGTTGTCCCTCCCAACACCCCCCCCCCCTCTCCTAACGAATAGGAAATATGCTCCAGATCCAGTTTCAAATGTATCTTGGAGCATGGCAAAAGGATAAACTTTCCCCAACTTGAAATATTTTTAATTTGCAATTAGTGACTCAAAAACTCAAAAGGGAACCAACATTTGCTGATGGAGTA